CCATATTAATACCTTGAACATACTTAACTGAATTAATAAATTATTCATCGATAATTCCTAAAATAATTCACTGTACATGTTCTACATTAATTGGAAAAACATTTAATGTTTTCACAAATTTTGTTGATGTTCCTTTTACTAGATTTTTAGAATAAATTAAGTAGAAGTTCAATTAAACTTAAATACTATACAACATATTTTTTCATTCTTATAGATAAACGTAAGTACAGTGACTCGTTACTGAGTATATATAGTTTTTTTTTCATATTTTATCATATTTAAGTAAAATTAAATTAATTATTTTCTGTAATCGTATCATATTTTGTTCCATTTTATCCATTTTAATATTTTGAAAATGTATTATTGGTAATACTTATGTTGGTGATTATAAATAATATTCAAATCGATTTCTTTGTACACACACACAAATACGTAGGTACAGTATATATTGTAATAGTACATGAGGTTAGCATGGAAATTCGAAATACATTACGGATTGGTGATTTCCGTGAGAGAATTTTAGTGTTTATTAAACTCTTAGACGATTAATTACTGTATTCTATAAACAAATCTATTTGGAACGCTGAAATATACGCATTATGCATTTTATATTGTACTTTTTTTTTTTTTTTTGTATGTACTCTTAGAATCTTTCTTTTCTGGAGAAGTAATGGGAATTTTTCAATGTTGACACATCAATGGAGATCTTACGAAGTACGCCGTTTAAGATAATGTGACACGTCGCCCAACTTCATGTACAATATAACAATCATCAGTTCCTACGTGAGCAATATACACACTCGTATATTAATATACGATTGCAATTTATTCTGTACATTGATATTATTCTACAGAAATCCAATACAATAATAATATCTTGGTTCTTTACAATTATTTAGAAAGTTAAACTATGATTGTTTATTTAATTGGATATGGCAAACAGTGCTCTATTGAATCCGGGTAAAACGTATAACGTGCGAATCATAATTATTATCCAGGTAAGAAGTAGCATATAGAGTAAACGATAGACAAAGTGTACAGAAGCTATAATATCCTTATAAAATAATTTTAACCGCGGAAAAAAAATATACTGATTGGCAAACAGGCTTTTTTTCACTTCAGTTGTGTATATGTTAAAACCCACGATGGGTTGAAAATAAAACTTCAAGCGTTTTAATGCGATAAAAATATATTTCTGATAATATTTTTATTAATCATATTTTATGCAAAGTTTTGAATATTGTTTAAAAATTGAACGTAATGAGATAGTATTTTTAAATTAAATATTATGCAGTTTACAAATGTTTTGATTAGAACTTTGGAGGTTAAATGCATGAAACTATCTTAGTAATTTTATAAAAGCTTAATTAATACGATACAAATAACACTCATTTGACTACCTGCATCTTACCAGAATAGTAAAAGTGTGTATTGTCTATACTCCAGAGAACGCAATAAGTGTCAAATATTACAGATAAAAGACCTAGTTTTCGTTAAATTAATAAAATATGCTGCAAATATGTACGTATATTTACTTTAACAGACATAAATTTGTTCAAAAATGTTTCGTGTTAGTCGTCGTATCTTTTGGAAGATGTGCTAAGTGCTTATTTGAAATCTTTTTTCTTATATGAGAAATAAATAAGTGCACTCGCATACATTACATACGGAATATGTCATTCGCGTTGTTTTTACTTGTAATGGCATTTTAATAATCATTTTCAAAGGAGAATTACTTTCGAAATTTGCATAATACCGTCACCACTATACGCATGTATATTATTCTCTTATGCGCGATCAATAACTATGGTATATTCACTTTAGTTTTCAACCATACAAAATGATTGCGTGGATTCGTCGAATGTAAAAAAAACGTATTTCTAATGTCAACTATAATAATTATAGTAAAAAAAATAATTATTTATTATTATTTATTTAATTTCAATTATTGTGATTACCGATAGAAGATTCAGTGTTATGCCTCAGGATTAGTGATTTGAAAAGGTCTTATATTGGTTTTAGTGCAGTTTAAGAGTTTTACAAATAATTATACCTGCAAGGTTTATCTTTACCATAACCTACATTATAGATAATGGGTTTATTAAACTATAATGTAGAATATGAATGGTTTTTTTTTTTAATACCGTTCACTAATATTTTATTTTACTACTTTATTATAAATTGTTAATATAGTCAATTTTATTTATGTGTTCACGAATTATAAGACAACCAAAAAGGTATTCTTCAATTAAATAATATATTTATATTAGAAAAAAATTTCGTTTTTATTTAACATACAATAGAAGATGTTACTCATTTGGCAGAGTAGTCAAAAACACCAAATGAAAATGTTTTTCAACGAACATATATTTAAAATGTACGTGCTTAGGATGTAATATTTTAAAGGATTATCTTGTCAACACATTTGATGTTAAATATTTAATTAAAATTTTGTCGGCGTGTCGTTACGATGTTTCATTTTAACGTTTCTAATTACGCATTTAAAATTCTTGGTAGTATTGTAATTCAATTGAATATATTTTTAAAGCAAGGAAGATCACAGTATAAATACTATAGGTACCTATAGTAAGAAAATATCGTAAGTTTTTGATTGTGCTATGCATATAGAACATCTTGAATCAGATATAGTCTTTATTTGTGTACCTAAAATATTACTTAAAAACTTACAATCTAGTATAACTAATGCGACAATGTAATATACGTGTTCGAGTTACGAAAGAATATACTGATAAGCTAATTTAAATTTTGGTATTTTGATTGAGGGACATTATACCATATAGTTATGCGATGAAAGAATAAAGTACGATTACTTATAAATTATTTTATAAATAATACATTTTATTTAAGATTTAATTTTTTTCAGAAACACATTGTTTACGATTTTCTAGTTTTTACATGAAATACAATATATTTATTTAAATTTGGATTACAAATATGTTAATTTTCTGTGCCATTAGATACTTAAATTAATAATTTATTATTTTATGTAAACAATGACTCAGTAACCGAAATAAAATTACAATTCCGAAAAGTTTTAAAACTGTGATAATTTGCAGTTTATTGTGAGTATGTAATAAATATTATTAGAAGTTCGTAATCACGCATCCTATGTATGTTTTATATAAGTTTTGTTTTTGTTATTGTTTGATTATAACATTCAGAAAAAATATATATTTTTTAAGCAAATATAAAAATAATATTGGAGCATGTATGGTATGATTAAAGGCCATTATTATTTGAAACTATCCAAACGGATGGATGAATTCGTTAACTTAATTAATAAACTTTTAGTAAATATTAATACTGAACTTTTGGTGCAATCACGCAGATGCATGTATAGAAGTTTAAGTATTTCGCTGAAATTGAATAATAACGATTAATATGGTAATTATTCATACAATGAAGCTGAGTCTTTGATTAAAGAAAAATTATCATATGTGTATAATTATTATAATGCTCATAAAAAAAAAAAAAAAAAACATTTTCTCTTTGATTTACATAATTTTTATAACTTTTTTACTACAATACATGATCCGTATATATGTATAACATTAAGTCTACTTAAACAACCGTCACAAGCAATGTGTTATGATCCATTTATGTACTATATTTATACAAAAATAAAATCGCAAATATTTTTTATTAAAAATCGATTTTTTATACTATGTAAAGATTCGAGTTAAAAGGATACTACCTTGTATAAACTCGATAAGTGTATCGCATGTCTTGTTTTGTAATTATTAAATTTTCAAGACACACAAGAGAACATGGTTATACGATGTTTGCATGCGTGTAAAATCGTGTGAAATATAGGTCCTACGATTTCTAATGCTTTTAATAATATCTCGACCGCATTAAGCTGTACGAGCAATAATGATGATTATTAGTTTCATTATTTCTACACCAGCTCACAAAAATACAGTTTCGATACTAATACCAAAATATATTACATTTTATTATTAAATTACAAATAAATTATTTTTTCACGACATCAATAATAACATATTTTTAAAATTAATTTACTAACGGGTTTGCAATACTCGCACGTTAATGGGAATATACGGGCGTTGTAAACCTCTCTCTTTTCTGTCCCTCATTCTCTCTCTCCCACTGTATATTCGACCCGGGCAATGTACGGTTTCGCCTAGCTACTACATTGACCGTCAAAATCGGACAATACCGCGATGCTCGGACAACATACATATTATTCCGAGTGCTGGTCGTAACATAATATTTAACATGACATTGTAATATTATATAGTGGCGCATCAATAGTATGTTTCGTGATGCAGCTTCAATAAAACATTTATCTATACATTATACGTAGACGTACGTACGATATAATATATGTATTGTCACCACGGTTACACAACACAATATATGCAATAATTATCACTTATATTATATATATATATATATATATATACTCGTACTGCAGTCGAATCTCTATTTGACAAGACTCTACATAACGAATATTTTTGTGGAACTGTATTATACTCGTTAAAATTGTTACCTATTGTACGAATGAATCCGATATTATTGTTTTACCATTTGTTTTAAAAATGTTTGTCATTCATTGAGTAAACTGCACTCATAATAATCTTAGGTAAAATAATTTAACAGAATATTGTGATTCAGACACACATCATAATGTTCCTATGTACAATTACGTTGTACTATATCATTTATTTCATTTAATTATTGAAAAAAAATATTATAATTTTTTAAATATTACGTGTTGTTAATTGTATAGATTTCGTTCAGTAATAAAAACGAGGTTTATGTGAAAAAAATTGTGTTTATTCTAAACGATTTTTTATTCTTCAAATAACCATCGAGTTCATTAAATAGAAGTTCGACTGTATGTGCATGTATACGTGAACTTTTCGCAACACTGAGATTGAAATAATTTCCTGTCAAAACTTTCGAGTAATCTAATTTATTTTGATTTTTTCCCTCTTTGTTTTTTTTTGTTTCAGTCACGTCACTCAAACGGCGTCTTGGCTGCCGCCCGTAGAAGCGTGGCCCAAGGACCCCGGTGCCAAATCTTTGCCGTACGGATGGGAAGAAGCGCTAGACGGTGATGGAAGATCTTATTTTATCAAGTGAGCACGCATTAAAATAACACTATAAACAGTCATCTGATTAATATTCATGAGTTCTCGAACCGACCGCAATGTATATTATTCGGTCGCGTATACTCGTATGTGGACGACACGCGAACTGCAATAACGCGCACGCGATGCAGTCGCACACCATTCGATATTATGCTACTATCAAGTGCCCGCGTCCAAGTCTGTTACACGAGGTCATTCATGATGGTGGGGAAATGTTTCTAATTCTCGCAGAAATATTTTAACTATGTAATCATGTTTTAATTTCTCTAAAAAATTTCTTTCAAATTACATGTTTACATAATTTTATCATAAAAAATAGAATCCACGTTACGCGATGTTGCGAATACAAAGGAAAAAAAAATGTAATTTCTTAAAAATAATGCCACCATAAGATGTTGTCCATTTGTACGTACTTGGTCCTGAAATCAAACGCTGATATTGTGCACAAAAAAAACCGTTCCAAAATCTAAACTGTGCGTTAACTGAAGCTATAGGTTGTCACCAATTACGGCTACATTTCAAGAAAAAATAATGGAAATATTGGAAATAATAGAAAAGATAACAGCATACGGTTCCGGCTAGTTTTGTCGACAAGTTATTTATGTCGAATCATGAATATTGCCATTTTAGGAATTTATCCGTTTAATTTTATCCGACACTGACTTACGGACATTAATATTGAGAAGTTATATTTTTAAATCTTTAGAAATTTAACGGTAAATCATTTACAATACGTTTTCAATAAATAAACTATGCAAATACATTTTTTTTTTACTTCTGCGAGAGAATCATTGTAAATTGTCCTACTTTTTTGGAACGCCCCGTACAATATAATATACATCCGAACTATAGACCCAAATCTCCATTTGCCGTCGTTACCGACGACCACCACCTCTACTCTGTCAATTGGCCGGCCGTCTATCCCTCTCATAACCCTCCCTACTCACGTTTTCTTCTGCTCTCCTCGCCCACTCACACACACAAACGTTCGTTAACCTTCCCCCCCCCCATCCGGACGTTTATACGTAAATTAATTTACTATAAGCAATGGCTCATCAATAATTCTCATAAATCTGCAACCAGCAGCACAGAAAAGCCCTCCCTTGACCCTATTACTCGGTTGTTTAAACGGTTTAATGTTTGGGAATTAAACTTAAAAGTCAATAAAGTAACTTAAGTATCAATCGTCTCGGAATTATTGTTGCCTGCGCGCGCGAACAAAGCGTTACAATTTTTTATTCATTTATATAGAATACTATATGCTGTATATAGCAGCGACAACGGTATTGAAACTGGCATCTTGATTACTACTATGCACGTGAATCATTTCGCTATTCTAAATTATTACGAGGTCATATGTTGAAAAATCAATAAAAAATACATGTATCATAAAAAAAAATTAATATTTACCGAACATAATATAGACTGACAATTGTACATTATTTTTCTTGTTGATCGCATCTTATCAAGTAATTTTCCAACTCAAATAGTGTTTTCAAATTTTCACCAGGAGAACGCATCCTAAGTATCATTAAAAAAAAAATCCTTAATTCTAATGAAATAAGTTTAATTGGCTAATCCTAAAGTAAGTCAAATAAATTATTATTAATTATGTTTTCTCTTAATATATGATATTAATTTAAATTTAATTTTTATTTGTTAAGAACAACAACAAAAATTAAAAATAAATATTGCATTGTAATTTATAGTACCCTAAATCTAGAAAGAAACAATACGGGAAACCAACGCACAGATTAAACTTCGCTCTAGGACATAAAAGTTTAAAAAAATGCTGTTGAATCAACCCAATGACTGATATAAAACTAAAATAAAAATGAAAACTTTGAATATACTATTATTTTTAACATATATTTATCTGCTGGATAAAATATAGTAATTTACTGGTATGCTTAACAATATATATATATATATATAAGTATCTGAAATAATATTATCGCTAAATATTGGCTAACCTAATCTTTCTTCTTATTGTCTCATTTTTTTTTTTATAAACATTTATTCGTTATGAAATCGATTAATTTCTGTTTATTAAAAACAAATTATATATATATATTGTAACTACAAATATTAAATAAGTAAGTATGCAATACATTTTATTGTATTTTCAATCGCATTATTTGAGTTTTCTATAATACATTTTACTGTAAATTGTTCGTACGTTTAGTGTAAAATTATTGTGAACTATTATTTAACATTTAAGTATTATCAATATATTCGAAACCTGTTTTACCGTTAAAATTACATAAATCCTGGAGTGACACTATACAAAATATTTTGTCAGGTTAACGTTATATTATCGTTATTCATTATTAATATTTACTTCTTCAAGGAACGTTGTATTTGCCGAAGGAGAAATATCTGATTATGAATACTACTAATAAACAATTGTAAAACTGTACATGTATTCACTGTCACATGGTTTAGGTGGTACGTATTTATATTTAAATTGTTATACATAGGTACATTCTATAGCCTAGTCCAGAGGTGGGCAACTGGCGGCCCGCGAACTTTTTTTATCTGGCCCGTACTATATTTTAAAATTACATCATACAATTTTAAAGTTTATCGTCTATACTCTGAATTATCGAAATAATAATTATTATTTAGTATTAAACATCGTTAAATGTCTAAATATCATATGTATGTATAAGTATAGCTTTCAACCATAGCTGTTCGTACGGAACTATTTAACTATATCAGTTTCTTTGTATCACTCATATCGTGCTGTCGTTTGTGTTGAATTTATTATTTCCGTGTATATAAATGCATATTAAAATTCATATTTTGAATGACCTTTTTTTTTCTATGCTCTGGCCCATTAGATTTTAACTATCTAAAAATTGGCCCTCTAGTAACTTTGAGTTGCCCATCCCTGGCCTAATCGATAAATTCACTCTAAATTCATATCCCAAAACATTTCCCAACAGTATAATTGATATAAATCTTTGTAGACGTTTATGAATTTAGTCGCTGCGGTTATAAATCTAATTTTATGAAGAATAAATAACCACCTACTGGATATGTGTCTTCCGTATATTTTAGGCTTTAGGAACGCGTGTATACCGAACAATATTAATTATATAAATTCGATATTATAACACACGTTCTGTAATCATTGTTTTTCGAAACGTAAACCAGAATTGCGCGCATCATCAACGCGCCAACGATCGGATAGCATCGCGTGTGATTTAACTCGCTAAGAACTCAAAGTTGTAGTTCGCTCTCCGGGGAAACCGGTGTAACCGAAAACAGTGTATGCGTAATTCACGGGTGCGTACGCATAGTATCCATTTATTATCATTATTATTATTATCGTTACTCTATGTATTATATAATTCATACAGACTTGTGATCGTTTTCCAGATATCTTGTGTAATCCGTTTAAAAATCAATCCAGCCGAAGGTACGAAACTGTTATTTTACGTAATCGTCCAACGAGTGACGGACTAATATTAGCAATAACAATAAAATAACATTGATAATAATAGTAAATTTATAGCCGTTCCCTTTCGACCATTGTGTGTGGTGTTCCCAATACCGTGATGTTGTTGTATTGCCTAACCAAAGTGCCTTCTTTACGTGTCGTTTTGTGTTCTTTTTGGCCAGTGCCCATAATGATGTACTAACATAACGCGTATTTATAGTATATACATACATAAACATGTATTTTACATGTTTTAATTCAGAACGTATAAATACATTTATTTATAAATCTATAAAAATTTAAAATCAACATACACTCTGTGTGTGTGTGTGAGTATGTACAGCTTGTATAGGTTAATGTGCAAAATTAATTATATCAAATGCGTTGTGTTTACCTGTTTTATGTCTAATAAATTATTTAGAGCTGATAAATTTTTCTATGAACATCTCTTTTTCGATCGATGTGCTTTGACGTATATCAGAAAAGTAAAGTGAACACAATCTTAATTAAATAGAATTCTCGTGAAACGAGTTTCATATTTTTATTATACGTACTTTAAACTTTTACTATCAGTATACATGTATATAAAGTACAACGAACAAAGAAATTAAACAAATCCAATATCGCATTGTATTCGTTATGTTTATCGCCAATGTTTTTAGTGTCATTTTATTGATGTCTTACTCGCAGTTGAGTGTGTTCCCGGAAACAACTTATGAATGTAAACGCAATTAAAAACTGCATATTTCATAGATAACAATGTATTATTAATTATAATAATTATGAGTAAGGCCCGGAGTTATATGCACTAAAAACATACGAAACATGCATTTATGCGATTATTATCATTCAAATATGCACTCAAAATATGCAAAAATATGCGAAAATATGGAAACAAAAATGCATGTTTATTATTTATTAAATTTATTTAATTTTAAAATTTATACAATTCATTAAATAATTAATATTCAACAAAAAAAATATATATCAACTGTATTTTTTATATTTTATTGAACTGTATGGAACTGTATTGAAATTAAATTGTATTTTGAACACTCGCTCATCGAAACAAATAGTCATAAACGAAAATAAATTTAAAAAAATCAAGCGGATTTTTATAATATTTTTAATTACTTGGAGAGTTACTATCCTATTGATAATTTTAAAAAACTTTATCTTATCTTATTATAACACAAAAAATCAAATTATATAACTGCACGATTCATAGAATTTACGATGGACATGCGCTAAGTAATAAATTATAGTATTAATAAATTCTTAATATTTTTTTTCTATATATGCATTATATTTCAGAAAAATGCTAAAACATGCATAATAATTTGAAATGTACTAAATATGCAAAAATATGCCAAATTTAATTTCGCATACCAAAACATTAGATTAAGATTCAAATTTCTGTCTTACCTAGCTACTTTTTAGTTTAATATATAAAAATATGCAAATGCATACAATTCCGGGCCCTAATTATGAGCAATAGTATTTTACTTATATTTTTTAAGATACTTTACTGCTATTCGTTCGT